ATATCATAATCATCACCACCATGCACCGTCGCCACCCCCTTATCACCATCACCATCACTAGCATCACCATCACCATCATCATCACCATCACCTTCACCATCACCATCAGCATCATCATCATCATCATCATCATCATCATCATCACCATCACCATCACCATCACCATCACCATCATCATCATCATCATCATCGTCATCATCATCATCATCATCATCATCATCATCATCATCATCATCATCATCATCATCATCATCATCAGCGCCATCATCATCCTCATCAGCATCATCACCATAAACAACTACATCGGCACCATTAGCATCCTCATCACCATTCATCATAATCAGCATGTCCAGCATCATCATCACCAGCATCATTGTAATCTTCATCGCCATCGTCATCGTCATCGGCGTGATCATCATCATGATCAGCATCATCATCTCGATCATCATCGTCATCATCATCATCATCATCGTCATCATCATCGTCATCATCAGCAGTATCATCCACGACACCATCATCATCATCATCATCATCAGCATCATCAACAGCATCAGCATCAGCATCAGCATCAGCATCAGCATCAGCATCAGCATCAGCATCAGCATCAGCATCAGCATCATATCCATCATCACCATCATCATCATCACCACCACCAGCATCATCTTTATCGTCATCGTCGTCGTCGCAGCAACAGCAGACGCAGCATTATCAGCCTTTCCTTCCTCATCCTCATCCTCATCCTCATCCTCATCCTCATCATCATCATCATCATCATCATCATCATCATCATACTATGTATCATCATCATCAGCATCATCATCAGCATCAGCATCATCATCATCAGCAGCATCATGATCGCCTCATCATCAACAGCAGCAACATCAATCCCATCCCCATCAGCATCACCATCATCATCAGCATCAGCAGCAGCATCACAATCATCAATATCGTTGTCGTCGTCATGGTCATCGTTAATCACATGTCTACATCTCGTTCGCGGGGCCTAGATCAGATCACTGATGGCAGGTATGTTATATTGGAGGCGAATTGCTGCACTGCCCACGCCGCGTCATAAAAGGCAAGCGCTTCCGCAGCGGAAAAAGAAACTGGATCGCTGATGAAAGTGCCGACTACAATAAGCAGGCGAGTGCATTCCATCGAACCGCGGCGCGTCACAGCCTTTACACACCGAGCGGCTGCGGGGCACGACTCTTTTCGAGTGCCGCCGTCGACGTGGATAAGAAGACTTGCTCTACTCAGATCGAGCGAATCCTTCGGGAACTTTTGATACATAACTTTCTCTCTTATCGTCCACTGCATGATTGACCAGGTAGTCGACTTTCCCTTCCCTTATGAATAACTACTCCCTGTCGCACCCCGAGACCGGTCGAAAGGGCAGGCCGGGCGTTTCGCCGGGACTTCCTCACCATTAAGATCCTGAAGCTTGAAATTGCAATAGTTTCACGGATGGAGAGCGGGTCGTTTTCAAAATGTGGCTCTCGCCTCAGCGCCACGCACATTCATCTCAAAACGCACGAAGTTGGGCCATTTTCAAAATGTGGCTCTTGCCTTAGCGCCACACACATGTGCATTCATCGGCGGTGGACAAACCTCCCTTTAGTAGACCTCCATTTAGTGCAAACGGCCTGGGATCGAAACCGACGGACCTGGACCCGCAAAAATGACGGCCGCGACGCCCTCGCGAACCGAAAACGGCCAATTCGCTAATCGACGTGTCAGGGTAGGAGGTCTGTCCAACCCCGAGAAAAGGGTGTCTTGGCACGATGTCGCTTCGTCAGTGAATCCTTGTAGGGCCTGAGAAGAGGGAACTTGGAAGAGGGGTTTCTTGCAATAAAGTCGATGAGTCTTGGGTCTACACTGGTCCTCCTCCTTCCCCCCGTCCTGCTCTACCTGTCTTCCACTCCCCCCTCCTCCGACTTCGCCTGCCGGGAACGGGGGGGGAGATGAAAGACGACGGGGGGAGGGAAGGGAGACAGAATAGAGAGGAGGGAAATGGGGGGGAGTGGAGGCGAGGGGGAGAAACGAGGACAGGGAGGGGTGGGGAGCGAAGAGGAGTGGAGTGGGGGGGAGGAAGGAACGTGGGAGGGCGGTGGGCGAAGGGATAGACACTGAGGCGAGGGGGTCTTAGTGCCCTCTTGGGCTATCTTGGGCGCTTCGGAAGCCGTCTTAGCCCCCATCTGGTCCTTTCTTGGAGCCCTTCTGGGTCATCTTAGAGAAAATGTTGGGGCCTCGTGGACAGTCTTTAAAGCTCTGAAGAGCGACAATGAGACTGTACCAAAATCGCGCAAAACCTGAAGAAACTCCGACACGTTTCCCTCACACGTCGGGCGCGCGCTGACGTGGAGCACGAATATGTGGATCTGGCGCGTGGACGCCAGATCCGCGTCCGGAAGGTGACGTGCGTCCAACTATACACATACTTACATAGCACAATATGCTGTAGTATTGCTATACTTTCTGATGTAACCCCCCTAACGCCCACCAGAGACACGCCCCGTCCACGAACCAAAGGTGGTGGACCCCTTCTGGGGCTCGAGAACGCACAAAACAAAAGGAAATCCGTGATGTGGACTTCTTGAGCTTCATGAAGGTCGGAAGGGACCTCAAGACGGCTTAGATTGCCCAAGATGGCTCCTACCGCCCAGGATGGCCCCAACACGGCCCAAGAGGCCCCCAAAACGGCCCAAGAGGGCTTCGAGAGGATCCCAAAGAGGGCGTCCAGAGGCAAACAAAAAATGGTCTGCATGTTTGACATATTCTAGCCCTCTCGACTTCTCGGGCTTCCAACGCTCCGAGACGACCCCAGGTGCCTCCAAGATGACCCCACGGCGGCCCAAGAAGCCCCCAAGAGGTTCCCAGGACGGCCCGAGAGAGCCCCAAGGAGGCACAAGAGGCCCCCAAGACAGTCCCAAGACGGCCCGAGTGGGCCCCAAGACCAAGACTGCCCTTGGAGGCCCCAAGAGCAGGGGCCCAAGACGGTCTCCGCATGCACCAGGCAGCCCAAGAGCACCCGAAGACGGCCTCAGACGCCCCCAAGACGTTCCACTGCGCCCCCGACAAGCCCCCAAGCAGCCCCCAAGAGGCCCTTCAAAAAGCTCCCAGGAGAGCCCAAACGCACACCCTCTGCACACTCTGGAAGCGCACCCCGCGAAGCAAGAGGAGCCCACGGATCGGAAAAGGTACCCCCCCCCCCCCCGAGACGCGAGGCCAATACCGCGTGAATTGGCGACGCAGCGCGCCGATTCCTCACGGAGACAAAACCCGTCGCTTATCCACGCGCCGTAATCCTTGTTTGCGGTTCCTTGATTCAGATTTGAAAGCCCCGAAACGACCACGGAAAAAACAGATGCGATGCCCAACGAACATGCTGTGCAGACCGACAGCGGCCGCTGTTGGGTAGGCGGCCTCCTGCCTCGCCTGGACTACGTCCGCGGCGACACCGACAGCGGGGCCTGCTCAGAATGAGCAAGACATACCGTCGGTCTGTGTGCCCGTTTTAGTCGGCTGGAGGCGGCCAGGGGATCTGAACTGGCTGGGACCTCGGAAGATCGGTCAGGAGGGGAGGGATGAGGCCAACGTCGCTCAGAATCGATCTCCAAACCCCTCCTGGGGTCCATCTGGTGCAGATGTGTTGTTATGATGTTCCAGCCTACTTCAGCCTTGACCACCAGGAAGAACTTCGAGCACCCGGAGAGTATCGAAACTGGAGGGTTTTCACGTGTCGGGCCCTGGGAGGCGATGCTCGTTCGACACTGTCTCGACACTTTTCTGGGTGCTCGAAATCACTTCTGGGGCGTGGTCCTCGAGCACGATGGGAACAGCAGAGACTGGTTGCCCTGGGTCCAGTTGCGACTGCCTTGGGGCCCGAGAGCGGCCCCTGGCCCACACACGCACACACACACACAGCCAAAAAAAACTGGTCGACCCCAGCGCCTCGAGCCCTGCCACCCCCTCCTGCTTGCCAGAACCAGTGCTGGGCCACCTCAGAACCCCAGCCGACTCCAACGCGGCGACACCGACAGCGGGCCCTGCTCAAACCGAGCAGAGCGTGCTGTCGATCGTTGTGCCCAAGTTGGCCCTACCCACTTCGATCGTCCAGGGAGGCCCAGAAAGGTAGGAAGGGGTGGAGAGGGAACTCTCCCTCCTCCTCCTCCTCATCCTCCTCCTTCTCACCCTCGCCCTCCTCCTTGCGTGGCGCTCGGGCTCCTCATCCTCGTTTTCCTGCCCACTCATCCTTCTGCTCCTCGTCCTCTTCCTCCTCCTCCTGTTCCTGCTCCTCCTCCTCCTCCTCCTCCTCCTCCTCCTCCTCCTCCTCCTCCTCCTCCTCCTCATCATCATCATCATCATCATCATCATCATCATCATCATCATCATCATCATCATCATCATCATCATCATCATCAGCATCATCATCATCATCATCATCATCTCATCATCATCATCATCATCATCATCATCATCATCATCATCATCATCATCATCATCATCATCATCATCATCATCATCATCATCATCATCATCATCATCATCATCATCAGCATCATCATCATCATCATCATCATCATCATCATCATCATCATCATCATCATCATCATCATCCTCATCCTCATCCTCATCCTCATCCTCATCATCATCATCATCATCATCATCAGCAGCAGCCAGCAGCATCATCATCATCATCACCCATCATCATCATCATCATCATCATCATCATCATCATCATCATCCCTTCCCTCCTCCCTTCCCTTCTTCTTATTATTGCTCTTGTTATTGTTATTTTAATATTGCTAGTACCCCTCCTTTTCCTCCTCCTCTTCCTCCTCCTCCTCTTCCTCCTCCCTCCTCCTCCCTCTTCCTCCTCCTCCTCCTCCTCCTCCTCCTTCTCCTCCTCCTCCTCCTCCTCCTCCTCCTCCTCCTCCTCCTCCTCCTTCCCCTGAATTTGAGCGAGGTTGCCGCCGCTGCCCGGCAGCCCCCGCAGCCTTCTTCACGGTAGCGGAAGGCGCCGCGGCCGCGGGGTTCAGCTCTTCCATGCTGGGGCGGGCGCGGACGGGCCGGCGGCGGCGCGGGGGGGGGGACAGGGCGTGGTGGCAGAACCACACATTTTTCTACGCCGCAGCACGGCGAAGGTAGTCCGCATGCGCGCTCGGGCGGGCTGGGAAATAGCAGGCGCTGGTTGTCTGGCGGCAAGGGAGTCTGAAAAGGGAGACGCGGCGGCCGCGGGGCACGGGGGGGAGGGAGAGCGCTCACGTGACGGAAACCGCCGCGGAACGGCCTGGGCGGCCAGCTGGTGCTGCACCCGTGGCAGCGGGCGCGGGGCGGCGTCGCGGCCACACCCAGGCGCTAGGGCAGAGGCTGCAGTGCGAGGAAGCGGAAGTACAGCACCAGGTAGGGCGGAGCCAAACTGACGATAACAGAACCACGCACACACACACACACACACTCAAACCTACAGGGGGGAGGAACTGGGGAGGTCTAGGCGAAAAAAGCGCTGTAGGTGTGGGCGCGGGTTGTCGGCGAGCGGAGACCCCCATCCGACAACACATACCCATAGCCCCCACGGAATTTCGCCCCGAAAAATCTGAGCGTCACGTCGGTACGGGTGCTAGTTGTCAGCTCTTGAGGACGAAGAGGAGGACGAGGCCGGAGGAAGAGGAGGACGAGGAGGACGAGGAGGACGGAGGGCGAGGGGGACGAAGGGGACGAGGAGAACGAGGAGGACGAGGAGAACGACGTGGACGAGGAAAACAAGGAGGATGAGGAGAACGAGGTGGGGACGAAGAGGGCGACGAGGACGAGGATGTGGGAGGGGGGTGAGAGGAGGCCGACTGTTCGCGTGCACCGAAGCTGGTTCCCAGCGGCGGCCTGGCCAGGACAGGTGCAGTGGCGGGCGCCAAGCGACAGGCGCCAGGATGATGCCCACAGCGCCAAGGCCGACGACACGACGGCGCCACCAGGACGCCACAACGACGCGGCGACGGCGGCGAGGAAGTATCAGGCTAGAGCCACTGAAGTCTCAGCCCAGGGGAGTCAACAACGCAGACTGGGCAAGGATGCTTTCCCTCATACAAAAAATGCGAAGACCGAGGGCACACTGGACTGCGAAAAGACATGCCAGCCATCGGGGTGAGTGAGTGAGTGAGTGATTGAGTGATTGAGTGAGTGAGTGAGTGAGTGAGTGAGTGAGTGAGCGAAGTGAGTTCGCACAGGAGCGCGGCGCGCCGCGGCGCGGTCCTTGAAGGACCTCACCCGATCATCTGCCCGCCAGCGTTGAGAGACTCCAGCTGATCAGCCCAACGCTTTGCTAGGCGGCCCTGGCTTCGAAACCCATCTGGTTGCCAGAGAAGCACTCTTCTTGCCCGACGCCCGTGGCGCATCGACTCCAGGTGGAGGCTCTATCGTCGACGCCTGGACTGCATCTCACACACTCATGAAGGCACCCCCGCTCCCTGCGTAACTCGCCTGGCCTCTGGCGTGACACGCTGCGCCCAATCCGCCCATGCCTCGACTTCTCCTCCTGGCTGTTGTTTGATGCGGCGCTTGCCCAGAATGGCCCTCAGCATGTGCATCTGCGTCGATATTAAAGCTGCCTCCCGTGATTCCACCGTGACCCAAGATACGCATCCGCACAAGATCGTCGGTGTGAGTGCTGCGTGGAACAACGTCACGCGCAACTGCAACGACACTGCTGCGTCGGCGAGGTCGCCGCGAGAAAAACCAAATTTTGACCACGCCTTCCGGATCCGATGCTTCAGCTCTGCGTCGTGCGTGGCGGTCAAAGACAAAGCACTTCCACGGCACATTATGCTATCATTTGGGTCTACAACTTCAATCGCCATGTCCCGTATTTTTGCTCCCCACAATCTGCTGCCGCATCCGATATTATCTTGTTAAATGTTTGTTATGCCCGGGTGCAATTCCAACCCCACCTCGGCACCCCCCCGGCCACGTCCGCGACCATCTGCTTCAGCTGGGGCTAGGAACACCCGACGAGAAGAATATCGCCCGCAAAACGCAGATTCGCGACCATGCGATCACAACCAATACCACGTTGAACACCGCGCTTCCGGGAACACCATTTAGTCCATTTACTCCCGACAGCTCTCATCACTTGCCCGAAAACAGAATTGAAACTGATCGGGCTAATTGGAACCCCTTGCTCTGTGCCCCTGCGGATGTCGAACTCCCGGCCCCTGGCCTCGCATCTGACGCTGCCCCATTGGGCTCGGCGAAGGCGAGGCAGGACGTCCACGCGCGCAGGGGGAACACCGCGAGTCAATAAAGATTCCCAGATGCTGCGGTGCTCGATTGAATCGGAAGCTTTCTCGAAGTCAAGCGTCGCCACCCAAAGCGGCAAATTGAATTCGCAATACTTTCCTGCAAGAAGCGCCACTGCGAACAAGTGGCCGCCGCAAGAATAACCAGGCCAAAAACCTGCCTGATCGGGAGACTGCGGCGCAGGGGTAAGTCTACCAGAGATCCCCCCACACAAAAAGCGTGCGAAACGTTGATAACATATTGGTATAATGCAAATCGGTGCGCAATTTTCCGCCATTCTTGAATCGACCTCCTTGAACAGCACCCGCATCGACGACGCCTTCCAGCATTGCGGAGCCGCCGCCCCTGGCTTCAGAATTGCCGCAAAAATATCCCACAGCATTGTCACAAGAAGCAGGCTCCCATCTCGTAATAATTCAGCCACAAGCCGACCATCCTCAACTGCTTTGCTGGGTCGCACTCGTCTCAAATGTAGCCGCGCCTCGCCTGGCGCAACGCGTGGAACATCACAGGCGTAGCCTCGGTGACAATACTCGCCCCCGGCGCCCCCATACAACGATCCGAAGAAGCTCGCCAAAACCTCCGCAATATCATGGACTGTGGTTTGCACCTCCCCTCGATCGTCGAACATCGAGCTGACGCAATCTCGTTTGCCTTTGTCCCGATTGGTGGCGAGCCGCTGCAAGTCCTAGAAAACCTCCAAGATTGGCCTGGTCCTTGCGCTCTTGCGCGCACGTGTTACTGCCCGAATTTCTTTCCGAATCTGCTTACTCGCGTTCTTGACTGCAGCCTTAGCCCCTGCTCTGCGCGCGTCTCTCCTTCGCACAAGACGGCGATGCTGCGCGTATTCTGCGGCGGCTGCGAGGTCCACTTGGGCGCGTTTGCGCGCGTCTGCCACTTGCAAAAGAACGCGTTCGGAATCACGGCATCTCGCCTCTAACTCTGCGCCCAAGTCTACCTCGATGTCCCTCCTCAGTGGGTGGAGTTGGTCGCCAAATCAATCCTGACACTTGCGCTTGCTGGTCGGCCCCTAGCCTCGCACGTCGGGGACGCTTCGTTGGACTGCCTTCTTTCGTCTGGCTCGGGAGAGCGTCAGCTGCAACGCGGCAGCACGGTGGTTCGCACCAACAATGATAGCACCACATGCCCCAGCATCGCGGACCCAGCACGCACGGCTGATACCAGGCGTGAAATATGCAAGCTGCCGCCGAATACCCCAATGCTGGCACGCCCACTTTTCATCCAAACTCTTCGGACAAATCGTTTTCGCCAGTGCCAGTCGACGCCCAGATGCCCGCCGCACTAACCGCTCCCAATCGGGTGGTTCTACTTCCGATGCCGTGAGAACCTACGACTTCAGTATCATCGCTGTCTTGTTGAGATCCGACAGCTGCGTTCAAATCCCCTTCAAAAATGCAAACGCGCCGAGGGGGCGAGCACCGCGCATCAAACCATCGAGCGCAGCACAAACGTCCTCCACGTCGGCGTCTGGCTCGCCACCGCGAGGCATGCAAATGGCGATGAAGCGTAAGCGCGAGCTCCCGATGTTCGCATCCAACGCACAACGTTTCCCACCCACAGCATGATATGCCTGAAACCCTGCCAGCCAACGCCTGCGCAACATAATTGCGACACCCTTTTCCCCTTCTTCCTGACCCACAGAACATGCCCCCATCACTTGTCCGCCATCTCTCCTGCTTCGCCCCCCGCCACGTCTCACCCAGTAGCAGTGCACCCCAAGTCACGTTGCCAAGCTCTGCAACAAGCTCCTCCTCACGAGCATCAGCTTGAATGCGACATTCAATCTCGCGACGATCCGTCTCCCTCTCAACATCGACACCCATCGGGCAACAACGATCAAAACTCTGCGTCTTTGAGCCGCGCAGTGCTGCAATTGGAAAATCACCCCCAACTGATTTAAACGCTCCGCGCCCACCACCCGCGCTCTTGAATACACACCCCTCTTGGTTGGCCATGTCCCACTCCAAAATCTTGTAGCTGGCCACCACGTTCCTACCAAAACCCTTCAATTCCATCTTGTCGTTCTTAAACTCGCCGATCCTGCCATCCTTGTAGCGGGCGATGACCCGCCCGTAATCTGCGTCGATCTGCTGTTCCACCACGTCGCCGCCCCCTCCCTCGCGCTCAATGACTGCCCGCACGAGATCCCGCGCAACTTTGTCTCGCGCCTCGCCCTCCGGCGATTTCTGGACGCCCTGGCCCACGCAAATGCGGCGCCTGTTAATCTCGAATGATTTCTTGGCATCGGCCCGCCGCAAGTAGTTCCACATGGCGCCCTCTGTCTTGAGCCCGGTTGCACGTCTCGTCGCAAAACGCTTGCCGTAGGCAAACGCGCCATCCTTGCCCAGGTCCGCCTGGACTGTCCCCACCTGCTTCTTGATATGCTCCACGATGTGTTCGCTCTTGGTGTCTTCCGGGAAGCTTCCGGATATAATCGCTCACTGCTTCTCCTCCGGGCGCTTGGCGGAGGTTCCACTGGGCCGGCGGGGGAAGCCAGGGAAGGGGGGAAGGGGGCGGGAAGGGGGGGCGCGACACGACGCGGAATGGAGCGGTCGGGGCGGAGAAGGCACTGGGTGAGGGCCCTGCAGTCACTGGGCCACGGGGGGCCGCCGCGGGGGGGGGGGGGGGGGCGCGACGCGACGCGGGATAGAATGGTCGGGGCGGCGGGGGCATTGGGCGGAGGCCACATTGGGCCGCCGGGCAACGCCGAGGCGCAGAGGGGAGGGGCGGGGGGG